CGTCCGTTGCCAGGATACGAACAAGTTCGGGGAATTGGAAAGTTGCTAGATGTTTTGATGTTTTCACCCTCTTGACACTGTGTGGATGTGGTGAGCAAAGGACAAGGTCAAGGCTTCAAAAATCTTACGCAGTATGTGTTAGGCTGCAAGTCATTATTAGTGCTGCCTCCCAATGATCGACTTGAGGATCTTGAACTTACGTAGACTCCAGGGCATGTTGATCCCGCCGGCTTGTCCCATCCGTAATTGCAGACAGCGGCGTTGGAAGACGTGGCAAGGGCGACGATGACGGCGGTGAGGTACTTCATTTTGAGGTTCGGCGGGCCTTGAATCAGCAGGAACTGTGTCTTTAGAATTCGAATGCTGCAAAAAGGGAAGAAAGATCTCGGATTTGTGAATCAAGAAATACCACGACACGTTCAGTACATACACTGATTCTAAACCTCTTTTAATTTTGATTGAGGCAGAAGATCTTCATCATATTGTAGTCTCATTAACTTAATTATATTAAAGCCTTCATCAAACCGTGGGCCAAAGCGGGCGGGCCCCGAGTCAGTTCATGGCTGTAATGCTCGCTCTTTCCACATTTGCTTCGTTTTCGGCTACAACGGTCCGCTGCCTGAGTCCGAACCAAGTAGGTAGCTATCATTTGTGCATTGCCGATGGTCAGTAATTTCAGATTATGGGCAAGGCCTGATGGCAAAGGATGCCAGATCACGTCCTTGTAGCGGTTGTCTATAATCCAGTGATCGATCACACCCATCATTATCGCAGAGCACGTACGACTAGTGGGTTCCCAATACCTGGACACTGCGGATTGACACTTCGGGGCATCTACTATTAGTACACAGACCAAAAACCGATGCAGCCTCATTCATGCTCGCGTTCGCACCCATGTCTGACCCGCCTTCTCAGTGCATGCCACGACAACGAAGAGGGCCGGCCGGTCGCAACCCACCCGCGTATCGGCGTGCGAGCGCGCTCCCCGGGAATGGATTGCGCGGCCGTTTTGCGTCGGTGTAGCGGGCTTTGCCAAGCTGCCGTCCTCGTTCCTAATTTGAATTTGGATTGGGCCAGCAAACGAACGCCGATCAGAACCTCAATGGATTCTCTTTCCTACAAAAGCAGCGCCTCTTGTCACATGAATCTGTTTTAGATCTCATCGCTAGAATTCCTTCTGGTCGAGAAAATTGGTGCAAATCATGACCAGGATGGCAACTCTTCAGTAGGAGGTTTCAATGAGAAGTGATGGATCGAATCGTTCGGCGCGGAGGCTGGAATTCAAACCACATCACGAGTTAGGCAGTTGAACACTTCGGCCTGGTAGCCTGGCAGCCAATGGCATGGTCGACATTTGACAGAATGGTTCGAGGTGGGCGGAGTACATGAGATAGTGGAAGAACAGCGAGTCCGATATCATCAATCTGCTTAGATAAACCCCCCAGGCCAGCACTAGCTTTCATTCAGTGCTTTGTGGACTATGCGGGCCTTGAAGTTTTGGAGCAGCCCAGGCTCTGCAAAATGGGGGATTTCAGATTCCTGGGGTTTCCGACTCATGTTTTCATGCCAGTCCATCCATCGAAGAATACGGATATCTCGGCAACATGGGGAATTAGTTTGAGCCGTCATATCCACGTACAGAGGCCTGATTTCACCTTATGCTGGACATTCGCATAGTGAGTGAAGCGGATGACTTCGTTATTGATCGAATCACTAAGACTGATACATAAGTTCCGTATTCTCGAGGTCCTGGTTGCCATGAGTTCTTCTCTCTCGTCTATCACAACCGCGCCACCACGGTTGACATCTGACGGGTATTCTGTGTACAATAGTGTCAATCTCTACATAGATTTTTATGCCCAGCCGCGACTTACATCACTGATCGGATACATTAAACTTTTAACTACTTATCCAAGTACTTCGACGCACAAAACTCGAGAGGTTGTTATGCTTAACTTCTGAAGTCATCAAGTTCGCTCTTCAATCTCCGAGCTAGGCTACGATCTGTGGCCATAGGCAGAAAGCGGGAAGCTCTTCCAATCCGTCTGCCATGAATGCCTCGCTTCCGATCCGCTGCCTTCAGCTCGCGGCCAGATTTCACGGAACACCTCGTGCAATAGACCTTCCACCAAGTCAGGTACCATGCCAGCTGTAGCTCTCCAGGTGTTAAACTTGTCCCCAACCAATAGAGCAGACACCTCCGATCTATGATTGAACCTATGGTCGCGTCGAACATCCCAAGGTCGACCAAGGATGCTGCAGGAAGCTCTGACTTCTTGCCCTTTCCCCTGCAGCTGTTCCGCCCACGACCAATCGTCAACCCGCAACTCCAGCTTTTCCAAGTTCTGATGCTGGAAAGTTCCTCCTTCTGTTGAGATGGCGTGGAAGATTGCACAAGCCAGCGTCTCATCCACCGCAACGTTGATGAGTAGGTCCCGGTACTCTTCTCGATAGTTTGGGTTCAATCTGTCCACAGTAGCATCTCCGTCAACTTCCCCAGGCGCCGCAGTCGCTGGTAGAGATAGTGTCCTACGGTTCTGCGGAAACTGCCAGCCTCGTTGCATAGGCATGAGGCGTAGAGATAACTTTCGGAGTCGTCGCAATTTACCGAGAGCCACGTAAATAGCCATCTCTTCTTCATCTCCCTTGGAGCGCCGCACCCTAATGGCTAGGTCCTCGATTAAGGGCCAGCGCTGTGCGATGAGAGCAATGACCTGCGCGTTAAATGGGTCTGTAGTATACCGGTTGCTCTGCAAATCCAAAGTTCGCAACGCGAAGCTACGAGACGGGCTGAACACTTTTCCGAGATGAAGACTATTCCAGCCAATCACCTCCAGCGTCCAGAGCTTCGTGCGTCGATCGATAAACTGCGTGATCAGTCTTTCTCGCTCGTATCCCGGGTCGTTCATCGAAGACAAGTTGGAGATGTTCAAAACCAGGTTCTTGAGGAATGGAAATGAGTACGTGTCCAAGAGTTCGAGCCCCTGTGGGCCCAGAGGCTCTGGCAGTCTGAGGATTCGTAGAGCGTCAAAGTCAATGAAGCGGCCCCATTTGCAAAGGAGACTGTAGTCTGACAACTGCGGATCCCATGTTAAGTGGAAAGTTCGCAATGACTTGCGGTGTTGCGGAAAGCATGAATCTAAACCCTTCGCGCCGCTCCAGGAGATCTCATGTAGCTCATAGGGGGAGTCCTGAATAGAGTCGTATGCGACGCGCACTTCCTGTAGCCCTGGTGCCGTCCTAGTAAGCATCCGCATCACGGTCGTATTGAGCTGGTTCACAGCTGGAGAAATATGAAAATGCGAGCAGTCGATGCTGTAAAGGTTCGGAGAATGCACAAGTTCAAGTTCGTATTCGTCAGGACGTGAATCCCGTAGAGAGAGTAGGTTGAAAGTGGGGAGATGAATTCTGCATCTAGGGTGGTACTGTTTCAAGGTGGCGAACAGTGAGGGAGGGAATTGAGTAGGACATGTGAAGAGGATGTCACTCAAGTTCGACAGTTCTTTGATGAGCCTGGCCATTGGTAACCAAGCCGAACTACTATCGTAGGTCCACTGGCAGTTGGCATATCCTTCCAAATAGTCACGCGCACCCACTAGGTTGCAGTCGTCCATCTTTCTTGCGTCGTCTTCAGCCACCTCGGCGGCAAACATGCGACCTTGTTTCCACCCGGACTGACGTGAATCGTAACGGTTCTCTGTCAAGTAAGGGCCGTTCGCATAGTCCTTTCCGGGTGTCGGTGGCTCGCCCCAGATGGAGATCTGGCGCACGTGAGACAAGAGATCGTTTTTGCGAAGCATTAGTTCGCAACTCAGGGTATTGAGGCGCAGGCTGTGCCAGACGCCTGGAAACTCGTCATCGTCAATGATGAAATCGATGTTGCGGACCAAGATGCCTATGGCAGCGTCACGGCATGTCTTGTTGACTGCAGAGAACGAAGCGAGACTTGGAGCGCGATCGTCATAGTATAGAATCTCGCAGATGTTGACTAAGAGCTCTCGCGGTAAGGTATCCAGAGTCCATTTGAGACGAGACATCTTTGCAGATTGAAAAGGCGATAGTTAAATTACTCAAATGACAAACGAAACAGATTGCGACGTTATGGACAAGATATCTGCTCTAAAGGGAGGCAAGTTTTGTTTGGTGAAAAAATGCGACATGTACGTACGCTGAATCAGATTAACCTTCTTCCATCATACTTATGAGGACGGACGGCGCTTGGCCTAGATAGGTTAGCCCCTGCGTTCGAGGTTTGACTTTGATCAAGTCACCTACCAAGTACCAACCACCTGGTAGGTCGCCACACCGCCAGAAACCACAACTTGAGTGCAGCAAGCTCATCACTTTACGACTCAAAAGTAGGACAGTCACTCTTCAGAACGAATTGAAGACTCGCTGCATTTCTTTCATTGAAGCAAAGGGTCTATCTAGGCAAGAGTTCGTATCCGTAAGAGGCGTCATTCTGGCATGCTATCGAGGCACAATCAACACGCATACGAGGGTCAAAAACAACATCAACACTGAGGGTTGACAACTATCACCAGAGACAAAAGTAAATGAGGTCCATCCAGGATTCGAACCTGGGCCTACGGAAGGTTCTGAGAATCAGAATCCGACGTCCTAACCAACTAGACTAATAGACCGAACGAAGCGAAATTGAAACCCGCTGGTTGTGTGGGCTTCGGGAGCGCTTCCGCAATTCAAGTTTGATGGTGGATAGGCGAATCGGAATTGCAGCTATGGTGGAGACGGGGACAACTGTCAATCCACATGAAATCACTTCAGACAAGCCATGACATAGTCTTTTGGTCCTGTTAAGTCAGTCGAAGCTTTCTACATCAACTAGATCGACTTCAAGCAGGGGGTGACTATGGTGGGTGGGTTCATGATGACAATAAGGGTTTCGGGATTTCGCATGAACCTAGCTACGTTTTCTATGCTAAGGCGCCTTATACACCATCGGAGTTCGCGCTGTGCAGGCCAACAGGATCTAAATTATTTCATGCCAGAAGCAAACCGATAGGAGCCGGTTGCTGCAGTAAGATACTAGGTCCAGCCACGACCGTATCCAACTCAGGAGCCCCCGGACAATCTGCCAGCACCGCAATAATGATTCCCTTGGTTTCGAATTCGGCTGGAATTGTCACGTTAACGAAATCGCCAGCTGCCCATTCGGATACATCAACCGATACACTGGTGTTCCCTACGCCGTGGAAGAAAACCGCGTAATAGCTCTTTCCATCGACAAATTTGGGCTGATCAGCCGCGTTGGTGAAGTTGAACGAAACTTCGGACCCTGGAGCAATAGACTTCGTCCTAGTCGCGGCCGACATAGCCGGCAGGTGCTGACTCGGGCTGGGATACTCCGGATTTGCTGACGGACAACTTCCCGGCACAATAAAGGCCTTTGTAAGATCGAGAATCTCGTTGGCGTAGGGGAACACGGTATCGCTCGGTCCAGAGAATGGGTTAGCCCCCCAGACATCCAGCAACGACCATGTCTCATGCCTCGACTCTACTGTCGCAATAGCCACCATGGCGCCGCGCGCAGCTTCGCTCTTAGGTTCCTGGACCAGACCAGTCAAGAAGGCCATGCTAGCGACTTCGAGATAGGTTGTCAACGCCAGGAAGCTCGTGGCGTCCACAAATGGGTACTCGTATTTGCATGATCCCGGCTTGACACTAGTGTTGGAGATCTGGTTCTGGAAGATGCGCAGATGTCCAGCCTCATTGTTACGGATCTCCGTGATGCGATCATAAGTTGTGTTCGGGAAGCCAGCAGCGACGAAGGAGGAAGTGTTGAAGGCTTCAACGCCTTGTTGGTAGAAGCTGAAGATGGCCCACTCGGCTGCCAAAAGATTTTGCCAGACTTGGTCGTCCGGGCCCGGATCTCCCGATGCTGTAGGGAGGATTGGGGCAGTGATATTCCCGGGGAATGGAGGTGCCTTGCCCTTGTAGTCGCTAAAGAGGGTCGACTGTCCCGGGATGGGGCCATATGTTGGATCAGCGAGTTTCTGAGCTTCGGGATCCGGTGTTGGTGCAGCTACGGCAGACAAAGGTAGCATTGCTAGGCATGAGCCAAGTAGCATTGAGTGGATAGATGTTCGCATGTTGAGTAATCAAAGGTGAGGAAGCGTAGGTAAGAGAGGTGTGGCGAAATAGTTGCTTGTGTACTACTGCAGAGGATGATACTGTGAGAATGACTACATGATGGTCAATGGAGGTATGTCGAATTTATACAACTTTCTCATTGAGCTTATGGTCAAAAAAGGATGCTGTCTTCGAAATGGTTTCGGCACTTTCGAGGAAGATCTCTCCTTCAATTTGACGTCAGATTTGATGTCCAAGGTGACAACTTGACTTGCTATTGTTAATTCTCAGAGTTGATTGGATCACGATGCAAGAGTCAACGGTCTAGGAGCTGTCAAGACTAGCTGTAAAAGGTTGTATTCTCGAGCTCAAGGCCGGGAAGCTGGATAGCCTCGAGAAATGCTACTATTCGGGAATGGTTTCAGGACACTTTCAGCTTTAGCTGCAAGCCTACAGTGCTAAGCCTTGCCAAGCTAGCGGGACGAACGCTGATCTGCTTTGCCCATCTTGGTCGGGCTCATTCGACTAGGGCTTATCGTCCGGCAAGCCGGCACACATGACGCAGGCAGACGGCGAAGTCGCGGTTCGGCCTCGGCCAAAGTTGCGGCACAGTGTGTCAACAAGGGAGAGGTTAATTGTGACGAACATGGGCGGCAGTGACTTTGGCCGCTGCCCATCTACCCCACCATCCAGTCACTGATGTAGGCGCCCACTGCGTCTAATGCCTTCTCGTGAGCTTCTCGTTCAACACTTACTCGACCTGGTCCTGCAACTCACAAGATATGATGTTGGAGCACCGTTCTGCGGGTTTATCGTCTTGTTTCGCAACGAGGGCCAATCACCTCCACCATGCTTGCAAATCGAGTTCTTGTCGCTGGTTCAGAACAATGGAAGAGAGTCCAAGCTTATGAACACTCAGTTTCGCCCACTTCACGGGCAAATATCCCTTGGGGGAAACGAAGTGGATTGAATCACGCAAAAGACCAAAGATCTCCAGTTTTTCTCCAAGAATACGGAGAGACAAAAACGTTGATTGGCAAGAAACTGAGATGATCCCTGGCTAGATATTACTCCTCACTGTCTTGACCCCATCCAGGCTGTCACCCACTTGCTACCCGGTGGGATACGGGATTCCGCTGGGTGCCTTTGTTAGCTACATACACAGAGTGACAACACCTTTCACAAAAACGAGATAGCCTCGGAGGTAGTGTCGGCTCCCCCACCATCGGATCAGATAAGATGCATCAGATTAGATAAACTGGATCTGATTCGAGGAGGTGCATCATGTACGAAGAGTTTTCAGTCTTGGCATTACGCTCAATTAACCGTAATTAGCTAGGGGCGGGCAGCATGAAATAGCTCGACCTTCCCCCAGTGGACGGTGATGGGCTGTTCCGCGCACCCATCCAATCCACCCCGTCCTCCGGATGCCACACTACGCAGTACATGTAGTCTCGCGGGCCGTCTTGAGTGCTGAAGATTTGCTGAAGAGGGAGGATCTGCGGATCCCCATTGCGACATTCCGTCATGGTGTGATGATGGCCTACCATACTCCGTACAAGCAAGAAAAAAAATAGGTTTACAAGGGTGGTCAGCAATATATACCGGCCGTTCCCAGCCCTCGTGAAAATGGCGCACATCTTCGCGCGAGCGAAAGTCTGAAAAGTCTCGGTGGTTTTGTATTTTTTCTGTTTGGAAAACTACGCTTCGGTGTTCCTTCTCACGATCTAGAGGCTAGTTGAGGCGGCTTCACCCCTCAATCCCCACGCGATCGCAAAGATGGCTCTCCTCAGCTTTGTCACGTCACAGAACTTTGAGAAGCTCAGTGTCCTCCTTCAATGGAAGCTTCTCGTGTTGGCCGCGATCCCTGTTGCCGTGGTATACTACTTCAGACGGACGAAAACCACACCGGGTATCGACATCAAGCAGTACTCTCACTTCCCGCAGCCTGAAGAGGCCGACCCAGTGAGGGGTCATTGGCCGTGGATTGAGAAGTCCGCCGGTCTGGGTGATCCTAGAAGGGCTTTTGGTACGTTTCAATCTCGGAAATCAGTAACGAGGAGGTCCTGGCGGCGTTGCAATTGCATCACATTGCGGCTTTTCGGGAAACGAGACACAAATCGTACGGCGTGCTAATGCTTTGCGACTATGTAGATGAGATTCTCTACGAACAGGCCGAGAAGCTTGGATTCCCTCCCGTTTTGCTGGTGGACTGGCGACCGATCGAAAAGTTCCTTATTCTTTTCATCCTCGACAACGAGGTTGCCGAACAGGTCACCAAGCCCTCGAAGCAGTACAGTACTAGCGTGCCGAAGCACCCCGCCATCCAACATCTGGCCCCTCTGGTCGGCGCACGATCTCTCGTAACGACGGATGTAAGTCCATCGCACGGTGCTGTTGTGGTCGGGTAGGATCGTGAGACTGACAAGACGCTTGCACTTTAGGGTGAGGAATGGAAGGGACTGCGAAAGAGAATTCTTCCCGGCTTTGCCCCATCGCATCTTCTCGGTCTAGTGAAGGTCATCTTGGATAAGTCGGAGACCTTTATCGAGCTTATGGAGCAGAAGGCTGCCACTGGCGAAGAGTTTACTATCGACGAGTACACCACAAACCTGGCCTTCGATGTTATCGGTGAGTTTGAAAAGACGCCTACGGAATTTGGAGTGTGTACTCAACGTTAATGCCAGGCATTGTCACTTTTGATATGGATCTGAACGCTCAAATCGAGGGCAAGCAAAGCGAGGTGTTACTTACATATCGCGCCCTATCGCAAGCCTTCAACAAGCGTATCCCCGGCAAGAACTGGATGCGCGAATACTTCACCGAGAACGAACGCACCATCAGACGTCTGGACAAGAAGCTCGACGGCATCCTCAAGGAAGAGATCAAGAAGCAGCACAAGGAGCTCCTGGCCGGTGCCGACACCACATCCCGCAGTGTCGCCACCCTCAGTTTACAAGGCATTGACGTTCTGACCCCCGAGATCCTCCAACAGACCAGCGACACTCTCCGCGGTTTCCTCTTTGCCGGCCACGACACGACGAGTATTCTCCTGCAATGGTGCTTCTACGAGCTTCACAGACGGCCTCAATCTGCCAAGGATCTGAAGGATGAGCTCGACGAGGTCTTTGGCCCGGATCAGAGCCCCAAGTCTGTCATTGAGCAACTCAAGGGCCCCGAAGCTGGAAAGCTTCTGGCCCGCCTGCCTTGTAAGTTCAAGATCTCTCCACATCATCTCTACCCTCGGAACAGCTAGCTCACGGCCGCGCAGACACCGACGCAGTCATCAAGGAAGCCCTGCGCCTGCACCCTCCCGGAACAACAGCCCGCGTCGCGCCCCAAGGATCCGGAACGACCCTGACCCTCCCCGACGGACAAAAGCTGGTCGTCGACGACCTCTGCGTGACCCCCAGAGCCTACATCATCCAACGCCACCCCAAGATCTTTGGCGAGACCAAGGACGACTTCATGCCCGAGCGCTGGCTCGGCGAGGAGGGCGCCAAGATCCCGGACAGCTGCTTCAGACCCTACGAGAGAGGACCTCGTCGGTGCACCGGATCCGAGCTCGCCAACTTGGAAGTGCGCATCATTCTGGCCTGCATCGCGAGATACTTTGAGTTTGTCAAGGTCGGGCAGGGCGAGCTGGACCTGGATGAGAAGGGACAGCCCCAGCTTGACGAGAAGGGTTTCTACAAGACGAAGTCTGTCATGTTCTCTGTGAGTAGAACCCCACTGCCCTTGCCATGAGACGAGCTACTTGTACTGACATCCCCCCTCTATAGACTCACTTGGTTACCGCTAAGCCTGTCGATGGCATGAAGGTGAAGGTCCAGATCAAGAGACAACAAGCGTAATCTCTCTCACATGATACCACCAATGAACCAAAACGCAGGTCCGGGATACCACGACTCGACGGTCTGACGCGTTTGTCTAGAGACGGCTGGTGGGGGGTGATCTGGGGCCGTCGTGCCCCATTTCAAACCCCATCTACCTTGTATCATAGAGAATGCTTGACCCTGACGACGATATGTTGGATGCGATGAATGTATATAGACGTTAGTGTGTTTATGACGCTTCTAGAAGAATGCTTGACTAGAACGTTACCGTGTAGCATAACATTGTCATGATCCGCGGCTCATTCGACTGTCGTCAAAGGAAACATGTTCACTAAACAGACTCTCTGGGCCAACCTTCTCCGGGCGAACCCGTCATGGGTCCGGCACTTGGATTCACAGCCTGTTTCTCACGCCCACCACGTCCACTATTACAGAGGGGTTGGAGGGGTAGAGGGGCATTCTGCATGGGTCGTCCGTTGTCGGCGAGCTAAAGCGGACTAATGCAAGTAGATGGGGTCTGCAACGTTCCCATGTCTGGTCACTGCTTTTATGGAAAGTTATGCAGGCCCGCTCGCTTGTGATAGCGAGCGACATCGATAGCTTCCACAGGCTAATTCACACAGTGCTTGCAATTTGCTAGCTGGGGGCTCTCGATCATGCATTCATCGTATGAGCTTCGGGCTCGTCTACGTGAACGGAATGAGAAGTAAGACGACATCATCCCTCATAAATGATTTCAATCGTGTTCGCAGAGTTGGCATGTCACTTTGCAATAACAGCTAAAGAAGACAGTAAATGGTGTGTTGTACCTTCAATTGCTAACCTCTGAGGATGGTATGTGTATTCTGGCTTTCCACGAAGGTTAAGCAGAGGCTTTACAACTCTACTCTCCATGTCGACAATCTTGAAAAGTTGCCCGCGACTCCATACTACCTCTGATGATTCCTCATATCTTCCTCCAACCCGACCACTTCCAACGGGTATCAACCATATCCAACAATCTCTGCAACTCTAGTACTCAGAGCCCACGGCTCAAAGCCTCTAATCCACAGTCTCAATTGCCAAACCCAACGCCGCCATAGTATGGTCGCCAAAGGCATCATCCATAGGAACGCATTTGCAGACGCCGTTGCCCCAGTTGAAGATGGAAACGCCCTCCTCGTACGGCGGCAGCGGCTCGTCGGACTTGGCTAGACGGTCATCCTTGTTCCCAAAGATGGCGCCGATGGAAACGCAGCGACAGAGCCTATTTCTCCAGGGGAATACGCCAGGAGTCTTGTATTTAGTGTCTCTGGGTGAAATCTGGGTGGGCTGGGTTTCAGGGTCGACACCGTAGTCGCTGGTGGCGCCGTTGCCGCTGGGGTCCGACTTGGCGGCTTCTTCCTCTTCGCGTAAGGTCTCCATGTCTTCCGGGGAGGATGTTGTAGATGACTTGGGTGCCTCTATTTCGACTGGTGTTCTCAGCTCTTTTGAGAAGTCAGATGCTTCGGAAACAGTGGCTGGCGAGGAACGTGAAGTAGAGGCGGTGGCGGTAGGTGAGGTGGATAACATGGTAGGTGTTGCCACAACGTCAACAGCGTCATTGGTACTATCACCACTACTCGTAGTCCGCTTGACGATAACAACATTCGTCTTGGGAAGCTTCTTAATTGTGACTGAATCTGAGCCGGCAGTGGCGAGTAGACGCTTGAGGTCATCCAGGTCGTTGTGGAAGAACATAACATCGCCGAGTTCTACCTGCTTGGTGTTGGTGGTGGTGATGCGGCCGTCTGCGTGCTCTTCAGCCTTCTCCACCTTATCGAAGAGGTTGTTAAGGAGCAATCCGGCAGGAAGGAGGTCCTTGAGCTGCATTGTAGCGGTGGTGGTTGCTTGTCTTGACAGGTGATGATTTCTTGGGTTGTTGACTTCGAAGGCCTTGAGAAGTAGGGTGTGAATGGAAGACTGGGTAGTATGATGTATGAACTACGGGTATGATGATTACTGCGAGGCCTTGGGGGGATGAAGACTGGCATCGGAGAAGAAGAGGAGTCTTGTACACTCTATGAACTAGACGTAGCCCGTACAGGTTCTTTCCGGAGATACAGTTCCATGGCTTTTGAAAAGCTAAAGAACCGCAGTGCTCAGGATTCCACGATGCTGGAGAACCCGGTCATCCAAGGTTGAGCAAGTTTCTAAGCCTCGAAAGTTGCGGACCACAGACGGGAGAGGGCGCAATGGCTCTCAGGCACGAAGCCATGATGAGAGTATATACGTAGACTTCAGGGTTCGGTCCTTGCTATCCAGAACCCTTTGGGGTATTTCGAGAAAGCCACGTTATGCCCAAATGATTCATAGTTCCATTGATTTCACCACCAAAACAGTTCTATTATATCATAGTAGTGGCAATGGCAAGACTTCATCACGGGTCTCCCGTATCATGGTTGCCAGTCTAGGCGTCTAGGGAAAATGGCTGTGGTATACCCGAGGAAACGTGCGAGCCATGCACTTAGTTACTTAACCCTGAGGAAGGGAGCCAGGTTCATCAGATCTACATCTTCCCTGATCTCCAAAGACACTAAGCCTCCAGATGATCAACTAATACCCAAACCCCTCAAGACATCTAACAAGCTCCCTCTCTGCAACCGCCCTCATCCCCTCAATCTCCTCCCTCGTCTTCCGCCTCAACATGACAGGATGCTCCAAAGCAAAAGGACACGCCAGCGCCTCCAGCCTCCTCAACCCATCCAGCGCAGCCATGCCCCTAATCTCACTAGGCCGCACCGCACCTCTCTCCCTCAACGCATCATCCCACGCTCGAGCCGTCGTGAGCTGTCCTAACGCCTCTTGCGGTAGACTCCCCCTGATCCCGTCAAAGTCGCCCGTCAACATCGCTTTACCGAGCAGACCCCCGCTGAGATCCGGATCCCGCCCCGTGCCGCCGCCCGTGTTGCCGCCGACGTCGCCTAGCGACGTGAAGAATTCGTGACAGGGGTGGGAGACGAAGGCGAAGTCGAAGTCGAGGATGGAGGTGAGTTTCTTGGTGGTCGTATCGTAGAGGGTATTGTTCGTAGCTGGTAGAGGAATGTCAGTAAGCTGGATCGGCTTGACGACGAGGCCAGACTTGAGAGGGGCAGTATATAACTTACTAAGATCCCCGTGAATGAGAGCTAACTTCCCAACATCAACCCCAGACCCATCAAGATACCTCTCCAGTCCAGACTCCAAGAACCGATCAACACGCTCCCGCACACCATTCGGCCTCCACCCATCCAGTGCCGGACTCGCATCCGCATCCTCCAGCCGAATTGCCAACCTCGCCTTCCAGAAATCGCTATATCGCTCCCAAGGTCCGCCTTTAACCGTCGTCATCGCACCACCCACGATTCTTCCCGCTTCGTCAATCGACAGCCCCCCGTGGGACTTCACACTCTTCGGCAAGGAAACCCTCTGGATCCCCGTAACCAGATCCGCAATCTGGCCCAGCACATCGCCCTTCTCTCCGTCGTTCATGTCGCGGAAGACGGTATCGAGAGGCACGCCCCTCTTGAACTCCATCATACTCCACCCGTAACTGCTGCTGCCACCGTCGCCCGGCACCCCCGCCTCCGTCCCCGTGATCTCGGAAGGACGATAGGGTCTCCAATCATACAACGCCGGCACGAGCCCCGCAATCTCAGGCTTATACGACCCCAAACCCTCTCGCGCGAGGTGAACCGCCGCGACCTCGTTCTCAACGCGGTTGTCTTGGACTACGCCTTCTGCTTTCGGGTTCGCGATGCGCATCACCACAGTAGAAGTGCCTTGCCCAGGGGGAGGCTGGGTGTACGGGCGGCGGCGTTCATGAGGGATGGAGGATGGTGTGAGGGGCGCGGAGAGAGTGATTTTGTAGATGTAGTTGTTGTAGGCGAAGGGTGCTGTTTCATCGTAGTCTATGGGGGTGATGTCGACGGGCTTGAGGGGGTGTTAGATAGAGGTGGGTGATGTAAGGTAGGAGGGAGGGGGGTTTCTTACTTCGAGGCCGTAGCTGTGGATGACGCTCTTGACGAGGTTTAGGCGTTCTTCGTATCGCTCGTGGTTCATGATGTATGGTGAGCGAGATGAGTTCGAGTTGCGGGATAGAGTGAATGCTTTGGAGTAAGGTGATGGTTCGGCCGGTGTTGATACCTTTCGACTAAGGCAACACGAGAATCTCATGGCTTCTTTAAATATATCCCCAAGTGAGACGACTCCATCCAATCCTCGTTACACCCTTGCCCAAACAAGAACAGTTGACTCATAAATCTCAGAGAGGAAGGAGTTCAATGCTTATTTCTCATCAACTCTTGTCTTTCTTGTTTTTCTTGTCTTTCTGTTGCAAGTTTCAAGGAACCGCAGGAAGCGAAACGATAAAGCAAACGCAAGTCATCATCGAAGCTTTCCACACATGGATGAACTTAGGGCCTTGCCGCTGAGATGATGCTGAGCTAGACAAATCGGATCAAGTCCGAGACCACTAGACATGTTTACTCCATCGGCCGCTGATCTTAGTTCAGACCATGACATGCAGCCGTAGACTTGCCATGATCCCTGCTAGACCTTTGCTGCCTGGAGGTCATGTCTTGAAAACGTCGCAAAGCACGAGTTTCTGCCTAAGCTGTGCCGTAAAGATGCATGAGATAGCGTTTGAAGTCATTGAACCCAGGGACACACTCGGGAGACATTGCGAAGTATGCGCCGAACGTCAGCTCTCGGCGGTGAGAGGAGGGTGATGGAGAGGCCGTGGTGGGTATGCCCCGCTAATAGATCGGCTCAAATGGGGATCCGCCGGCCCGACCTCGGACGCGGAGGGTCCGGGGGCCATCCTTGCCGCGAGCTGCCGCGCGAAAACTCAGAGCCTGCCAATCACGGCCTTAATGAGTTAACGCAGCCCTGAGATCTCCAACAATCACTGGTTTCGTGGTGTAGTTGGTTATCACGTCAGTCTAACACACTGAAGGTCTCCGGTTCAAGTCCGGGCGAAATCAAACTTTTGCCTTCCGGGAGGCTATCTTGCTTTTTCCGACCGTGGGGTGAACTTCCACTATCCACGTTGTTCTTATCATGTAATACGGTGGCATCCTGATATCCATCGTCTCGCTGTACCCAAGTTTCAATAACTTTTATGCCTACTAGCTTGTCTCTATTTTTTCTGGTTATGATTTGAATAACCTCCACCTCAGCTATCAATTACACCCACGATCCGCCCAACGACGCGATCCCACTCCTCATCCCAGCGTAAGCTTCCCTCCTTGATGGCTCCTGCCTTCAAGGTCTTCAGCTCGTCATTGCCGCTCTCACTTAGAAGCCTGATCAGAACGTCGGCCAGCTCAGTAGCCGTCTCAAATCCGCACCCATTCTCACCCTCCTTGATCAGCTCGCCGAAGCTCTCATATGCCGAGTAGGCAGCTACAGGTAGCCCCGAACCAAACATGTCAACCACCTTCATAGGTAAGTCAACACCAGAGCTGGATTTGTGGAGGCAGACACCGAGGTCGGCGCATGAGAGCAGCGTGGCGTACTCGCGGGTTGATAGCCACGCAGTCAAGATGGTGATGCTGGGGAGCTTACCCTCCAGGCGGAGGTTCTTGATCTTCTCCTCGTACTCGGCCTTCTGAGGGCCCTTGCCGGTGATGATGGCCAGGATCGGAGGTCGGCCAACGCCGGTCTCTGTGACGGCCTCTTCGGGGTGCGCGTAGGCCACCAAAGCGTCCAGCAGCAGGCCGAAATCCTCGTCGGGAGTCCATGATGTGCTACTGACAATGAGACGAGTGGTCCCGGCGATGATACTGTCGGCAACGTCCTTGGTCTCCTTAAGATGCGAGAGAAAGTCTTGCCGGGCTTTGGTCGATGCGATGGGCTGGAACACTTCGGCTGGCCGATCGTGCAGGGTGAAGATGGGCTTCTTGTTGCTATACGGCTTCTCCTTGAGCTGCCGTGCCATGGCGTCGGTGACGGTGAGGTTGGCCGTGGGGACTACCCTTCCAAAGTACATCTCATACTTCTTGTAGAGCCATACCAGAGGGTTCTTCTGGCTGCGGCCGGTGGCCATGATGGACCAGCCATAGTTGTGCCAGTCAATTAGCAGGTGGCTTCCTCTCAGGAGGGACACGAGCAAAGCCAGATGCAGCGTCGGGATAGAAGGAGGGTTCTGCAAAAAGTTAGACTGTGGATTCCACAAAGTAACGGCTCACTTGCCTGAATGACAATCCATCGAGCTGGGGGTGCAGTATATGCCAAAACGTAGAAGATGGAATAGGCTTGCCAGACAACTTTGGCCGGCTTATTGATGAGAAATGGCAGGGTGTTCCATTTGAAGACGGTAGGAAGAGGTGGCAATGGGTACAAAGCCACTCTTTCATTGCCAACGAGATCCGGATGGCGGGCAGTCTCCTTGTAACCAACGAGATCAACTCTACCGCCGTGCTTCATGATACTCATGGCATGGTACTGCATGCGAGGGCTCCGGCCTATATCGCCGAGGACCAGGATCTGGATGTGGTCATCCTTGGGGTTCTCAGCCGCATGGTAGCGAGTGGGCAGCAGCTTTGTGAGAAAGTTGATGCCGAGAGCAGCGACAAGAGTGGTGCAAATGCCAGCGATGACGGATAACACGAGAGGTATCAAGGACATGTTGGCGATGTGCGACAGCTCGGGACCAATGTGGCAGGGTATTGACGGCGTAGGCCAAAGTGAATCTTTGTGTCTCCGTTGCCGTGAGTGGTTGAGGTGAGAAATGCGGTGGAGTTTGGAGATGGATCGTCAAGGCCTCAGATGTGGTGGTATCGGTCATGCAAAGTGTCCCGTCCTGTCATCTGAAGTTGCAATCAACAGCCTTAGCGCGTGCGCGCATGGAGGGGTCCGAGTTGAAGGCCGAGCGGTGGGGGGAGTATCCGTGAGTTTCGCTGAGTATCCTTGAAGAGGGAGGGGAGGAGACACGAAGTTGAAGTGTTTTTGGTAGGTAGCAAAAAAGGCCAAATTGCCCAGACTTGCGTGACCTGACGATGGCCTCGTGGGGAACAAATTGGAATCGCGAGAGGCCTACGAAGCTTCTTTACTGGGCTAGACTCGCACACCTTCCAAGACTTTGCCCTTGTTGGCGCCTTCCAACTTGGGCAGGCCTTTTGGGATGTTGCAACGGTGGCGCCAATGAGGGGCCGATGTGGGCGCCATGATTTGATAAGCACGATAACCGCGATAACACGGTGTCACGTGGAGAAACACGCTGAGTACCTAAGTAAGGTACCTTAGTCAAGGTAAGGTACCTAAGGTAGGTAGGTACGCATCCTTCTGTTCCAGTCTCCTCGATAACCTCACAACTGGATCATGAGAAAATAAGGTGATGAGGTGCGGCAGACGATAGCTTCATCGCTCTGCAGATCCCCTGCGTGGGTCTGGATCACGATTCACCAATTGTCTAAATTAGAAATCTCCGAACGAGACTTTTCGTCACCCAATTAATGGAAAACCAGCTGCTGCACATGCAAAACCGACACAGACCAACTCAGCCTCAGCACAACAAGAGAGAAGAAAAGACCATTCATGCCTGTCGACTGTCTTGCCTGTGTGCCTGTCACCCGGCGACATCTGAACTCCTCTCACAGGCATTGGCTTGGCCCAGAAAACATGTCGCAACGGGGCTGGCCGCGGATAGCATTAGCAAGTGTTAGCCATCACACCGCCTTACCCGCGACCGTCCCATCAGAGATTATCCGCCCAGACATGCCAGGCAAGCCAGGATCGAGGGTATTGCATTGTCTTGCTCTTTGCTGATCCGTATCCATACTCTATCCCCTGAACAGCTTTATGCAGCTGCCCAGTGCCCCTCCTGATGAACAATTGGATGGCATCTTTGATGTGTCACCCGGCGAATCACAGACACGACCGCCCTCCTCGACCTGCACCTTACGTACCCGGCGCCCGGCCTCTCCCCACACGGAGAAATCTGCAGGGGTTGACGGCTGGATTCCCCTTTAGGTTCAGGTCCCAGAAGTCCACGGGTGCGAGAGATTCATCTGAAAGATTGAAAGGAGGCAGCACCCGACATGCCATGCGTCCCGATGGTTCAGCCCAAAAAACAACAACAACAATAACGCTGCTCTATCCTCCATCATCCATGCTGGCATCTGCTGGCCCCATCCCGCCTTTTTGACGACCTGCCGTACCGATACCGATACCTTACAAGTGGAGGCTTAGGTTGATTGCCTCTGGAAGGTAGCATCGAGGACACTCTTATTGTTCCTCTTCTTCTTCCTCCCCTCTGCATCCAATTCCTTTGCTCCCCTCCCCGCTCCTCCTTTCAGCCACACTTGGTCCTCTTTCATCTTATTAGATCTCCAAGTCTCAGCATTCGACAGCACAAGCGAACCAATCCATTCGTATCTGTCTACCTACTCTCGCCGCTTCCAGCATTGTCTGTGCGAGGCGCCGGCACGTCCGTCGACGATCAAATCTCCCGTCCCCCTCCAGCGCTCAGCGTTGAACTGCGGCGCGCAACGTCATTGACGGGGCGACTCCATTCCGGCCTTTTTAGCCTGTGCAGGTCCCCTGAACCACCACGCACCGCCATCAACTGCCAGCTCCAGGTCTTCTCAAGGTACACTGGCCCGAACACACACACGACTCTTGCTCCATCATCTTCCAGCTCCACGGTTGTGGACGTCCCACGACAACTCAATTGCGACGCTTTTCAATATCTCGTACCCGTTGTCGACCTGTCTTCGACGTACCCCAGAAAAAATTAGCGGATGCGGATAACGTCCGGCCCATGACTCAGGTTAGCACAAGATAGGGGCATCTTCGAATAGATCCCGACGCAACGGGCCCTTGGTGGAGAGGCGAACGAAAACGACCCAACGAAAATACGACAGAGGGGACACTACACAGGCCCTTTTCCTCGCCCATCCCCGCCGATACCGACACCGACAACGATCCCAGTCCCGGGTCCCAGACCGACCGACGACCGACCTCGACAACGCGCGCCGCGGTCAACATGGCCTCGTCCTACGCCTTGCCATCCTCCGCTCTACCGCACGCTCACCATCACCACATGCACTCCCACTCCC